ATATAATATTTATTTAATCTTTTAAGCTGTTAAAAACTAGGCAAATGTAATAAATAAATAAATAAATAAATAAATGCTAAGCAAATGTAAGACAGTATTGTTATATTCAGTCAGTTGATACTCTGCCATGCTTCGGTGCAAATTTATTTATTTTTCTCTCCTTAATTATCATGAAGCTACTTTTGTCATGATGTATTATTAATTGGACATGCATGCATTTAGTAGCCAGAATAGATTATTTGTGTTTTTAATTTTGTTCTTTAATTTCCACTTTATATTTCTGTCAGTATTTCGACAGCTTAGATAATTAACCAGAGGATGAATATAGTGATTGCTAGGGCTATGGGTCTTTTATACAGCAGAGAAAACATAATGAACTTTACTACTGAAAGATATTTATCTCTACCTCTCTGAAATATTAAATAACCATAAAGAATCCTTCCACTATGTCTTTAATATGATTCTAAAATTCAACCACTGGAATTAAATGTATCCTCATTTATCCAGAGGTGTACTTTGTTCAGGAAGCCCTGTGGAATTAATGTCCCATTGCTCAGAAACACATCCCTAAAACGCTCTGTTCCTTAATATGGCCATAAAAGCAAACCCAGTAGGGAAACAGGGCTGAAATATATATTTTGTGCAAAATGAAGGTGCCATCCTTTCCTTTCAATAATAATTAAAAGATGATTCTGTTTCTGATCAATGAAGGGAAAAGCCAAACCCAACATTTTTTGCTATACTGAATCATTCTTGAGTTAATTCCTACATAGCAGTTTCTATGATGATTTTAATGAATAAATCACCTCGAAAGAGTGGAAAAATATTCAAGATTTTTAAAACAAAGTAAAGCTTGAATCCAGTCACCAATTTAAGCATGCTGGCTTGAATTTCACACTTTGGTCCAGAGGAACCATTTCCCAAAAATGACAATAAATTTTGATCAAGGTTTATGGTACTGCCAATAAAACATGCCAGTTAGAGAAAAAAACAACACACACACACACACATGCATGCACACACACACGCACACGCACACATGCATGCACACACACGAAGACCCAGTGATGCCCCCAAATAACTCAGTGGAGCTACATTCATTCTGTTCTTTGTTTAGAAAAATGACTTTTCACTTGAAATCACAAATTGGCATTGGCATCACGTTCCTTGAACCACGCTCCCAGCTTTCCTTCCTGACACTGCCTGATGTGAACCTCTGGGAGACTAACATTTGGGTCTGAAAAGGAGTAAAGCTTGCCAGGCGTCCACTACATTTTCCAGATAACAATGTCTCTCTCTATTAAATAGAAGACATGGACATGTAAAGAAACACAATGGGAAATGGCAGGAAAAAGTAACAGAAAATAAGAAAAAAAATACTAAGAAAGAAAAAACAGTAGGAGAGAAGGAAGAAAAAAGAAAAGTTACATTAAGGTATCGTTTCAGTCTTTCCACAGCAACATCTATCACAACAATATGACAAGGGAGCACTAATCCTGCTCATGTTTAACACGTGAATTATCTTTTAATTTTAATGTTAGTGTTTGAACTCATGAGCTCATCAAGAGGTATAAGTTTTCATACTCCTTGGCCACACCGCAAGAGCACTGGAAAACCCACTATGGCCCCAAGGCAATTCATGGCCCATCCTGTCAACCTAAGTGAGCAAGGTCTGTAACATACGAAGCGGAATCTATCCTCCTGCAGTTTCCAGCTAATTCTATCCTTTTAGATCAAGCAAAATAAATGTAATTCTTCCTTTATACCCTAAAAAAATAAAATAAAATAAAAAATAAGTTTTCATGCTCCAAAGTCAAAATTTGAAATTCTGACTTATTTGCACATTTTAGAATTGATGCCTAAATTAGAAATGCTACTGGCCCCTGGAGAATTGAAAATGCAACGATGGCCCAGCTGGTGTGGCTGAGTGGTTGAGCATCGACCCATGCACCAAGAGGTCCCAGGTTTAATTCCTGGTCAGAACACATGCCCCGGTTGCAGGCTCGATCCCCAGTGGGGCGGGGTGGGGGGTGCAGGAGGCAGTCAATCAATGATTTTCTCTCATCATTGATGTTTCTCTCTCCCTTTCCTTCCTCTCTAAAATCGATAAAAACGTATTCTTAACCAAGAAAATGCAATGATATGTTTTTTGGTCTTCCATCTTTTACACACCCATCTTCTGACGTGAAGCTTTTTTTAATTTCCAGCTTTTTCTCTATATGATGGTTTCCTTTGCCATTTGTATGCATCTCTGACTGGCAATCCATTAGCTTGTCAGCCCAGCACAAGAGCATCTGCTCTTCCTATGCTTTGGAGCTTAAATATACCCGACTCTACATGTGCCCACAGAAGAAGTACTGCTCGGAAGAAAGTTCATTACTAAAGGCCATTCTATTGGAAATCTAGAATAGAAAAACTAGCTTTGGGAAAGGGGCATTTCTGCAGAATTGCTTCCCAGCTGTATCTTCAACTGTTCTTAGGAAACACTACCAAGAAGCGTCACAGCTAATCTGTAACACGTTACAAATTATTGAATTACGTTTAAAAACAATTATTGCAGGGTTCACTGTGACAGCTCCCATTTCTTCTGTAGAAATAAGAATATCTGAGGAAAGAATAAGTGTTCCTAGGTCAATGGGGAACATTTAGAGTGTGGCCACTGCACCTGAACCCGCAGCCTTGCCACTACCAGAGTGAGCATGAGACACAGTAGTCACACTGTCACCTGTGATCCACCCCACCATGAGAGTTGAGCCAGAATCCAATCAAGCCTCTTGTGCTAACGCCCGTTCATAGGAAATACAGGGGAGAGAAGAGCAAGTTAAATGCCACTTTGGGGAAATACGCAGGCTGATCCTGGGTCCGGGGCCAGTCTACATTTTCTCCAGCAAGTTAATGCTATTAAGAAAATATTAGCGACTTAAGAGAGCTAACGAGCATATGAACACATAGACACTGCTGTATCTTTATGGAAATAAATTAACTAGAAATATACATTTTACAGGAAATTTAGGGAATAGTGTTATGGGTTGAGCATTACAAATATTAAGGGATTCCATAGTATGTTAAACTTTTGGTGGTGATAATATTATGTTTATATAAGAAAAGTTCATTTTGTAGAGCTGGGAATTGTAGCATGAAGGAATAAATTATGGCATGCTATCTGGAATTAATTATGATATCTTTCAGGAGAGAAGAAATATTCAGAAACTATGTCAAAATCTTGATAATGATTAAATCTGATGATCAGTATCTGATGATCTGGGGTTAGCAGCATCCTCTCCGTATGAGTGTGTTTAAATATTCTATTTTAAATTTTATAAAAAGAGGTGAAAAGACCTAATAGAAAAACTCTATAAACTCACGTAATTAGAGAAATTTGTAATCAAATGCAACTGTTCTCAATATTTAACTCTCAGTTCTCAAGAAGGGCACTCTCATTGGGCACATGCCGTGAAACTGTGAACTGGAGCGCGTCAGCCGCCCGGACCAGTTACCTGACAGTCTTTCATTGCGTTCTGGACGGAAGCCTGGTCTCCGACGCGATGCTGTTGTTTCAGTCTCTTTTCCTGGGTTTCAAACCAAGTTTTCATACCTTGTACATTGTTTTCATATTCTGACCACGATTCCAATAAGCCTTCCAACAGCTGGATCTGAACAAACGTAATGAAATGAAATTTACAATTTTATTTTAATTTCAAATCATTGGCAGGCCACTATTTCCTCCAAACTGAGAATTCATAAATTTGTAAAATACAGTCCACGGTATGTTTGATTAAAAATGAATGTTCCGAAGTGCGAATCAATGACTATTTTTTGGTAAGCAAGTAAAGATCTTAAGTCTACTTGGAACGAGGGCAAAAGAAATTAAGAATCATCTTTAAAAAAACTAAAATAATATGAAATATACAAAGGGTGGAGGGTGCATAAGACAAAGTAATTGACATGATTGAAGACCATGTAGAGCCAGCAGTAGCTGGTTTGGCTCAGTGAATAGAGCATTGGTCTGTGGACTGAAGAGTCCCCGGATTTGATTCTAGTCAAGGGCATATGCCCGGGTTGCGGGCTCAATCCCCAGTAGGGGGCATGCAGGAGGCAGACGATCAATGATTCCCTCTCATCACTGGTGTTTCTATCTCTCCCTCTCCCTTCCTCTCTGAAATCAATAAAAATATATACATATTTTTTAACAAAAGAACATGTAGAGCCATGTATGCATTCTTCAGTGGCATTCTCTCCAGCAGAATCCCCGAGCCCAGCGTCTGTCGCTATCCTACTCCTACAGTTAATTTCTTGATAGAGTCTCTCCAGCGGTGGCCACGTGGCTCACCTTCTCAGCTACGAGGCCCTGCAGGATCTGCCAGCTTTTATTCATCGCTCCGAGTTGCTCCGCAAAGTCAGTCTTATCGCTGCGCTTGCTCTCCACGTCCTGAGTGCTGATCTGCAGCACAGACTGGTTCACAAAGTCAACTGTCAGCTGCTTACAGTTGATGTCTATCTGAAAGCCCTGGAGGGAGAGGGAGAGAAGGAAACGAGGTCAGAGGGTGCATGTCGTGGGCTTGCTCAGGAGCTGGAGGGCCGTGAGTAAGCAAAAGGTTAATGCCATAACTTCCATGGTTTAGTCCGAATGGCACCATCTGTGTGCATGCATAGAACCCGTTATTTTCAGAAACGCAATATATCTATCATAATAAAAGTGCAATATGCTAATTAGACCAGACGTCATTCAGGACGACCTTCCGACGAAGCCGGGGCTGCGAGGGAAGCCTGGGTTCCGGGTGCCTGCTGGCGGCCGGAGGGAAGCCCAGGTCCCAAGTGCCAGAGGGAAGCTGGTCCCGGCAGCCAGGGGAAGGAAGGCCTACTCTTGCACGAATTTCGTGCATCGGGCCTCTAGTATCCTACTCTTGGAATTTCGTGCATCGGGCCTCTAGTATAAAATATATATGAATACAGTAGACATGCATTAAATTTATAACTTTTGAATTTATAAATATATTTGAATTTATAAATATATATATATATATATATATGGCAGAGGATGTAGAATTGGATACATTTTATGATTACACTATAAAATATTTATAAATTATAGTATCCATTTTTATGACTTCTTAAAATGACATAAAATCTTATTCAAAATTATTCCTAATACCAGACAACTTTTCCATGCCTATCCCTAGGGAGGCAATGGTCTTAATCTTAGACAGCTATCCGGTCACTATGGATGAAATCTATACTTCAGAGCCTGATTGCCATCCCTGGAGTTCCTATGTCCCTTCAAATAAAATAGTTCCAAAACATGAAAAGGTAAAGATAACAAGTGTGTCATCACCTTATATTTCTGAAGGTACTCATTGATGGCCTTGTAGCCTATGGCATTTTTTATATCCTCTTCATCCTTCTGAATGACATTCTCCATGAGAGAGATCCACGTCATGACTTCCGAAATGGCATGGCGCGAGGGCAGCTTATCCATTTGGAGCTGCCCGAGGAGGAGAGCAAGTCACAGTATTAAAGTTCAAACCCGGTGCCTGTTAACCTAAACACCCCACATGAACCCTTATTAATGTTCCCGCATAGGTAACTCTTCTTAATGCCATGTTTGGATCTTAACCTCATTGGAAGCTTGGAATTAAACAGCAGGCAAATGCTGAACAATCCTAGTTATCTTATGTTCACTTGCCATCCAATACTATAAACATTGTATAAACACTGGCTAATTAATCAAAATACCAGAAAGAAGAAAATATTATTGTTATTTTATAGCTAGTTTTATGACCTTCAAAAAACGTAACTACAAAACATTCAACAGATGTATCTTATTAATTAGCTCATAAAATCTCTGTGTATTATGACTCAAGAATGTTAAAAGGAGAAAGAAAAATACCACAATACCAACTATCATTTTCGAGAGCTTTGGCACTCTCATATTTATTCCTAAGAGCATAGCCAACTTCTTCAGTCTTTAAAATGTACTTACAAGTCTGAATCTTACTTAACACATCATACATTTATGCAGCTACTTATTATAATAATTTGGAAGAACACAAGCAATCATTTAAAATATTTATGGACTTCTATGGGGTGCGGAATGATGTAGAGACAAATGTGAGATGTACAGCCGCTGATTAGTAGGAATGAAAATTGGCATTAAACACATCTATCTTACCTTATCTACAGTGATGAGCACAAAAGAGAGAGAAAAATAAACTCTCTGGGAGTTCAGAGGAGAGAAACATGTTTCCAGGAAAGAGGAGAACTGACTTCCCTTCTCTAACTTCTCTTCCCTTATTGAATGAATGCCAGCTGCTGTATTGTAGGTAAGATTATAGGTCTTTTACATTTATTATTGTTAAATCTTCATGGCTACCCACTTTATAAGGTGGGCGTAGTTACCCACACTTTACTCACGAGAAAAATAATTTAAACAAGACCAGAGAGGGATTGTAATACACACACACACTCACACACACATACACACACACTAAAGAAGCCCGTGGGCCCTGCCAGCGTGGCTCAGTGGTTGAGTGTCGACCTAAGAACCAGGAGGTCATGGTTTGATTCCCGGTCAGGGCACATTCCCAGGTTGTGGGCTTGATCCCCAGTGTTGGGTGTGCAGGAGGCAGCCGATCACTGACTCTCTTTCATTGATGTTTCTATCTCTCTCCCTCTCCCTTCCTCTCTGAAATCAATAAAAGCATATTAAAAAGAAAAAAGAAGCCCCTGGAAGATCTGGCATTTGTAAATACGGCATTTGGTGAAGGGCTCATATTAATACGCTGTACAGTGGAAGAGAGAAAAGACAAGACGTCCAAGTCGAAGCTTATTTAAATCCGTGAGCAAAAGCAGCTCGAATCGGTCACTACCAACGAAGCCAAAGATTCTTGCTGTACCTGGTGGAGCTTTTCCTGGACCGTCGGAATATTTGTCAGCAGGTCCGTCCACTGGCCGTCTATGTGCGACAGCTCGGAACGCAGGGCGGCCGTATCCACTTTCTTTAAGCGAAGGAGCTGGTTCCCGGTGCTTAGAACAGACGATTTCAGGGAGGACTTGGCATCCACTTCTTTGGAAAACTCCTGAAAGAAGGAGCAAAGTTCAAATCAGGATTAAAGAGCCAGACCTTTCATTTAAGGAAAGAGACCAATTTATGGCAAAAACAACTTTTCTTTACATCGTGAAGGGGAGTTATGTTAAGCATTGCAGACAAAAAACAAAAGCAGCCTACTCTCTCCCAATGGGGGGATAAGGACACACATGTAATACCTTAATCAATACAGAAATTTTTTTAAAAAAGAGCCAACGATGAAGCCACTATTTATAAACTCCTGAAAGAGGCGATGTTGAGCCTAGTACAGTGGAGCCTTGACTTACGAGTTTAATTCGTTCCGTGACGGAACTCATAACTCAAATTACTCGTATGTCAAATCACTGTGACGTTCGCTGCGCCAACTAGCGGTGGGGTTTCTGAAGCTTGCTCGTAACCCGAATTTTTTTGAGTTTGCAACTCAAAGCAAAAAATCGGCCGAGAGACGGCTCGTATCTCAAAAAAAACTTGTTAGTCGGGACACTTGTAAGTCAAGGCCCCACTGTATTGTGCATAAAGATTCTCCAGAACTTGGTTTAAGTTCACCCACTGACAGCTGGTTTCCTCTCTTCTAGTGTAGATCAGGCCTCACCTATAGGCCTGTAAACAATACATGTGAGCCAAATGCTTTAAACTCTTACCAGGAAAGCGTTCAGATGATCACGGACCATCTCCAGTTCTTGGGGGACGGTCACAGATTGCTGAGTCCAAAATTCCAGCCTGTCTTTTGCGGACTGTAACCAGTGAGTTAGAGCCGCAGACTCACTTTGATATCTGTAAGTATATTGATGAGCCTATTAGGTAAACATCCAATCCCTACTTTCTGCTAACCCATGTCATTCACCCATGTAATTTTATTTTTGTAAATGTTTATTGAATTTATTAGGGGTGGCATTGGTTACTGTAATTATATAGGTTTTGGTGTGCAATCTATAATACATCATCTGTATTTTATATTGTGTGTTCACCACCCCAATTCAAGTCTCCTTTCATCATCATTTATCCTCCCTTTACCTTCTTCTACCTCCCCCATCCCTCTTTCCCTCTGGTAATCACCATCCTGTTGTCTGTGTCCCAGTGCTAATCTTAAAAAGGCATGATAGATTTGGGTGAATAATGCCCTATGGTCAAACTCTCAAATTCTTATTCCCTTAATATTTATGCTTGAAGCAAGTCAGTCTCTCCAAGTTTCAGCTTTCCCTTCTCTAAGCTGAAAATAAAAATGTATTTCCCCTATCCGTTCATGTTGAAGCTATTCAGACCATATCAGATGACTGTTATGAAAAGTTCTTGAAAATAAAGAAACAGAGTATTTCATTATATAACATCACCCCCTCCACTTCTCTTGAATATTCCTCTTGTCCTTGAGAAATTGCATCTTCTCAAAACCACTCTCTCTTCTTTCCCACTAAGGTTTTCCTGTGACCACCCACATGCCGTCAACAGGCGAGGAGGAGGTCAGCTCAACGGTAAGGTACCCGCCTCCCTACCCCTTTGGATGACATGTTTATATGGGTTATACAGGAATCCAATTGGGGGCTTTGTGTTTGCCTTTATTTTCCAAACTATGTGATACGTTCCTATAGGGACCATGATATCTTTTTCAAGTCCTGTACCCACTAGCCTTATAAATACTCTTGAACACTAATCTAAAAAATGGGCAAAATAGTCCTTGTATTACCTGGTCCAGTGTTTCAATATCGTTTCCAATCTGTGAAGTTCCTTAGACACTTTGTTGGTACTATTCAGCCATTGTTCTCCGAGCTGGTTCAGCTGGCTTTCCAGATCGGAGCAGCTAATGGATATCAGAAGGCGCTTCCCATCATCTAACACCTGATATAATTTGGGCTGGTATTCATTAAGGCTGGATTTCAAATGCTGAAATGATGAAAAATGCGGGGTCAGAAGTTTGGATAATGCAATTTGTCTCTCTAAGGATCACAATTTCTCTGGTATCCATATGTTCCCATTATCCTTAGTCAAACTTCAATTATTTACAGCCAAGTGATGTTGGAAACTTTGAGATGTTTCAACTACTATATCTAAATAAAGATGTCTTTATTTGTTTATTTTTTGGTGGTGACTTTACATGCATGTAAGACTATCAAACTATAATTATTTCACCACATAAACTACAGGAAATGCTTGGTGGAAGCTGAGTTTTCAAGAGGAGCACTCTTTCATTTAAAAAAAAACCTTTTAATGCTCATAAAACAACCAACTATAATTTTTTCAAGATAGTGTGATATCAGGATAAACTACAGAAAACGCTTGATGGAGGCTGAATATTCAAAAGGAGCTCTCATTACCAAAAAGGAAAGAAAAAAAACCTTCTTATATTCTAAAACAAACACTTAACATTTATGTGCTTTCAACAACGTCAATAGCTTGAAATCAAAGTAACAGTGCTTAATATTTGATTGCAGGTTTGTTTAGATTCTGTTAAAACCATGGGAGAGTTTCAGAAGGAAATGTGGCAGCTTCCCACACCAAGATGCCCCAGGGACGCTGACCTGGTAGAGTGTGATCCGGTCCATGAGCCTGTCCTCGCTCTCCTCCACCAGCCCCACGCTGGGGATGCTGCTCTCCACCACCTCCAGCTGCCTGCGGAGCTCCTGCTGGTCCTCATCCAGATGGGACCACGTCTGGAAATGCAACATCAGTCCATGAGCTAGAAGCCCTCATTAAGGAACAGCATTCCTCTTCCTGTGCAAAATATGCACTTGACAGATTCTCTTTGAAGTTCGGTCAGAGGGAGATGTCTCTGTGTGTGTGTGTGGAGGGGAGGGGGGTGGCGTTGGGGGTTTGCCTTGGGAAGCAAAGGATGGCTCTGAAGCCAGGCATCAGATGGTGACCCTGAAAAGCATTATCAATGGCCTGTGGCAGCTGCAACTAACTAGCAGCATGAGCAAGTTACTAAACGAGCATGGACAAGATACTCAGCTTCTCTGAGCCTCATTTTTTAACATTTAAACATGGGACTAATAATACCTATGTGGTCCATCTGGAGGGTTAAATAGAATAATGTGTGCATTACGCCTGGAACACAGTAAGCATTTGATTACCCGGTTTTCATTCTTTACCCTGGTAGTGATGAATGCATGACTTAACTAGAAGGAATGGGCCTGTTCACGTAGGAAGTGAACTAAATATGTTGCATTTGTAAATTTAAAAAAGCACAGACATTGAAGAAATATGAATATATAGCATAGGCATTCTACTAAGGAGAACTCTCAAGTGACTTTTTTCTAAATTCAGATTTTTATTTTGTTTTAAATTGGGAAGTCTTTTTGCCAATCACTTGAAATTCACGTCAATAATTTATAGCAAATGTCAGCAGTTTTTCAGCCTGCCTCTCAAACCCCATGCCTCATCCTGCCCAGTGTGAAGGCAGTCCCCGGGCAGCTGCCTCTGAGTGTGGGGAAGGCTTTATCACAATGCACATCAGGCACTCAGAGGGGGCAAGGCGACACATGATGCTGCCTCTGGGAGTTCCGAGGTTACAGGAGGCAAATCGCAGGAATAACCTGTCTTGCCTTCATGAGGGGGAGGAGGGTGCTGCCTCAAGGGTCTCACCTCTAGAATGTACTCCAGCTCCACGCCCCTTTTGTGAGCCCCTTTCAGGACCGCGGAAGCCTGCGCCATCACTTCTGCGTGCAGTTGAGTTTCCTGCAGGACTGCAAAGCTGATTATCTTTCTGAAGAGCGTTTCCGTCAAAATCATGTGAGATTCCAGACCCTGGAAGTATTCCTGCCATTTTCCAGGTAGAAAAAAAGAGGTCAGCGACTCATTCATATACTACCAGACGCTAAACTTGCTTCAAACGGGAAAGCTGATGGTACTCAGCTGACATATGAGTGACACTGTTCCACCGCTGCTGGCCTCCACCTTACAGGGCTCCCGTCTCCTGCGTGGCCTCTCTTGTTCCCCCACCAGGAGTATCTACACACTGCTGTGCCCTACCCAGAGCCCTTCATAGGGCACCAGCCCCTGCTCTCCGAATCCTCCATCCCTGCGGTCCGGACTTCCTTACTGTCCTGACCCACCTCTCACTAACTCCACCACCCAAACTGGCCTCCCTTGTCCCTCACACTTTAGCTCCCATTCCCCGTCCGGGCCTCTGTTTACACTCTGTACTCACTGAGAGGACCTCACCCGACACACTCACAACTTCCTTCCTCTACGGCTGGGCTGAGTGGTATGATGTATTCTAAATGTCCCTCAGATTATACCTACATGCAAGGAAATGGTAGACCTTGCACAATCCTTCAAATGTGTTTTGAATTGTTCCTTTCTCTGTGTCAAAGGGCCCAGAGGAGGGAGATAGGGTTTATCCCATTTCCTGTTCCCAGCACCACAGGTAGAACCGAAGGATTGAGAATTTACATACAGTAATAAAATTTAGTGTGTGCTACGTGCCAGGTACTCTATCGGCACCTGAGAATCTATAGACAGTAATATTTAGTGTGTGCTACGTGCCAGGTACTCTATCGGCACTTGACTAACTCATTTACTCCTTACAACAACTCTATGAGGCAGGCAGATTATTTCACATTTTACAGATGGGGACACTGCACGGTCCAGTCTATGTAACTTGCTCAAGGTCACTGCCGAGCTAGCTCCCCCTCAGAAAATGCTCTGGTCAGGAGAAGCTAGAACCATCTTTTTCAATCAACCATCAATTATTATATCGTAGAATCTTAAAGTTGGAAGAGAACTTGGACGTCACAGAGCTCAAATGCATGGGAAGCTGAAATTCCTTTTACAACCCCATCTCCCCCAACAGCCTTGGATGGGCTTCCCATGGCCAGGAGGGCTGTCTGTTCAAGGAAGCTTACTCCTCTCAGCGTTCTTCATCTATTGAGCTTAATTTCTCTGTTATTTATATTCATTGATCCTAGTTTCTTCTCTGGAATAACTCAGGAGGTTATTTTATTACTAGGGTCAAAGATTTGAGAAAAACCAGCTGTGAACTTTAAAGCAATGTTTTCAAAGCCAAATGATAAGGCCTTAATAAATCACAATGTTTTGGACAAAAACCTCTGGGAAAAATAGCAAGAAGTCTAATAGTGAAAAAAAAATCTACCTTGAGAAGCCACCAGGAAAGCTACATGATAGTAGAAGGTTAACCATCTGTAACCCAATGGGATTTTGAAAGTTTCCCTAGAGGAACTTCCAGGAGCCTTGGAGTTTGGGGTTCTGAACTGGAAAAATTGCTCTTTCTGCAGTTATTGCTAATAATGCAAGAGTTACCTTTGTGTGTGCATTAAGCAGGCATGGCTGAATTAAGGAGTAGGGGCCAACTTGAACTTGGTACGGCACATACTGCTGGAGCAAGCGCAGGCCGACCAAGTTTGATTACGTAGCAAAAGGACCCGTTGTCCCCAGAAGGCAACTCTTGCAGCCACAGCAACTAAAGGAGCATGTGTTTAAGGCCATAAGAGCCGGGTGCCACATGCGAGAGAAAGAAACCCATTCCCAGAGCAGAGCGAGGCGTCCTGGGCCAGGCAGAGAGAACACCTAGAGCTAGATGAACAAATGGGCATAGAAAACACAGAGGAAAATAGCAATTCAGAAGGAAGCTGGGCTCCTTTGAAGAGGGTCCCTGTGCTTCCCAGTTTAGGAAATGAGAAAGCCTGGCCGATACTGTGAGGAACGGACACTTAAAATGACTGCTGAGGTTGGTATTCTTTTATAACTGATAACATTATAGAGCATGGCCTCTGTAATTGTTCTGTGCTACTGAACGCCAGTGGGTTTGCATAGACATTGGTTTACCATCTTAAAGATTCTCTTATACAAGTAGGAACTCCTAAAAGATTGAAAATACTGGGTTTTACTCAATATGTATCAGTCAGTGAGACTATGCTTGCACAAGTACATTCTCTCTCTCTACCTTATGTTTGTCAAGGAGCTGTTGGACTTCCTCTTTGGAAGACACGATCATTTTCTGGTCACCGGCCATCTTCTCTTGTCCAGTTTCCAGCAGGTCGGCCAGATCTTGCAGGGCCCTTTCGTACTGGCTCTTGAGTGCTAGGTTCTGGTTCAGTCCACTCCGCCGAGAGCCGATGGTCATCATCAGTTCATCATACATGTCCTTAGAAACAGAGACAGCAACATTCACTCAAGTGATGTTGAGGCTCCTCTCTAAAAATACATTACCTACCAAACCCACAACCCCAGGACGCACCTTCAGGTGCCTGCCTATGGTGATGCTCTGTGTATCGGGCATCCATCCACCTGCCTTACTCAGAAACCTCACTTCAAAAACTTCTTTCAGAAAAGATAAGCTAGCCCAGTGGTGTGGCTCAGTGGTTGAGCATCGACCTATGAACCCAGAGGTCATGGTTTAATTACCGGTCAGGGCATGTGCCCAGGTGTGGGCTTGATCCCCAGTGTGGGGCATGTGGGAAGCAACCGTCTCATCATTAATGTTTCTATCTCTCTCTGCCTCTCCTTCCTCTCTGAAATCAATAAAAAATATAATTAAAAAAAATAAGCTATTTTTTTTAACATTACAAAAGATATACAAAAACGTTGCCTAGAAGTGACACATGGGGTAGACTTAACTAGTCTTCTTGGAATGTCAATGTTTGTGGCAAGATGTGGGATCACAAACTGTTCATGGAGGTGAAGGGAAATGCCCCAGGAAATTTAATTCTGATATTTATCATGTTCTAAATATTCATACATGTTTAGAGTAATCGAATATAGTATCCTTAACATTACAAATACTACTTAATAATCCGATTTGGGACTATTCTTCAAATAAAGAGCTTGAGAAGCAGAAGCATTTACTGGGAGCTGGAAGACTTGAAGACTTGAAAAGGCCATGTTTTTGCCAAATGTGGTGAAATAAATAAATATCTTAACTGGAAAGGCATTTTAGGAGACGATGATACACTAAACACAGAATTTATTTGAGCCATATGGACCTGATTAATGTGCCATGTGAAGGTTTAGAGGCCAACAATGTCCGAGCTGGAAAGTTCAACTCTAATGCCTGTTTACAGCCCTGACGTTGGATCTTACACCTGACGTTAACCATCGTCGGAAACTGTCTAGAAAGGACAGAGTGGGGGCCAGTGGGCTCATGACATTGCAAAATGTTAGACAGTGGGATGAGATACTTAAAATAAAAATGCTCTTTTAAAAATAAGAGCTATTTTATTTTCTTGAAAGGAAGGACCTGTGAGCCTGGACTGGATTCATGCTAGTAATTCTTCAACGGTCTATAATAGGCATACAGGGCAAATGTGTGCATATGTGTCACTATGCACATTTTTTTCTTAATATAACTTAACTATGTTGCTCATCAAAGGCTAAATTTTTGCTGGTGTAATATTCCAGGATCGGCCTACCACCCTGATAGCAGATTCTTGCGTTAAGTGCCGATCCAGGAAAGCAAGTAACCCCAAGTTGCCCTCTGCTCCTGAGTGAGGCCAGGAGGTCTGTGTAGACTTCAGCTTCCTCTTGGTTTAAATTTTTTGTTTTGTTTTGGAACTGACACAGTGTCTCTCTTCCATTAAAAAATGTATGAACGATAAGCTATAGTTTTAATGACTGATAAAAACCACTCTTTAAATACAGAGTAGATCTCCCTTTCTTAACTTTTCTAGGTTGGACTGATAATAATTACATTTTCTACAGTAGAAAATAATACAGCACAACTAAACTACACCACAGTGGTTAGCCATCAGAATAATAACAAATGATTATTTTACAATAACAAATGATTTTTTAAAAAAGAATCTTAGAAGCTTGAGAATACAATTTTTTATTGCATTAAATATAGTAAAAATTTCAGAAATTTTTCTAAGAGTTACTTGGAAGAGAGATTAGAACTTAAATGATCTGAATTTTATAGAGGAAAAAACAAGAAAATGGAGAAAATACTTTTTTCTTGAGTTCTAGTTAGGATGCATCACTGAATGCCATTGGCAGGAAATCGTACCTGGAGTTTGGAGAGTTCTTGCAGGGCGGGCTGCTCAATCTGCAACTTGTCACCACGCTTTTTTAATTCAGCAATTCCTGCATCCAATTCCTTCAGCCCATCTTCAGCCTGCTGTATTGCCTGGGTAAAATTTGTGAAATTTCATCAAAACTCCCACGAATAATTTCCCACAAAAAGTATGACTACCGTGCCTCCTTATTTATTCCTCTTCTTTCCACATAAAACAATACAGCCAACAAAACTCATTGCAATATAACATAAAAACCATGGTCACATGATGTGGAAAAGAGAAGAAGGCCCTTTATTATGCTACAGATCAGCTATCTTAAAGGTGAGGAGGTAAGAGGGACTGAGAATGGAGGGTTGGGAGGACAACAGCTTCCTCAAAAAAAGAAAAATTCATGAATAGCGACACCCCAAAAAGAAGCATGATGTATGACATTAGAGAAAGGTATCTGCCTGGGATTGTCTAGGGCAGGGGTGGGGAACCTTCTTCCTGCCAAGGGCCATTTGGATATTTATAACATCATTCTCGGGCCATACAAAATTATCAACTTAAAAATTAGCCTGATATACTAGTATTTGGCCAAACATCTAATTAACTCATCCCTAATGCCTTGGCAGGGCCAGACCAAACGATTTCATGGGCCTTATATGGCCCGTGGACTGGACATTCCCCACCCCTGGTGTAGGGAATCATGTTCTGGTTTCCTGAAGTGCCGTTCTGAGCATCTTTGAAAACATGTGACTGCATGGTTTCCCCAAGAAGCAGAAAATCACACAATCGACAAGTATTACAGCGGCTGCTAGTGCTAAACCTTGTCTTCCCAGGGCGAGGTGTATAGAGGCAGAACAAGATCTCATCCTGGCCTTCCAGGAGCTTACTGTCTGGTTGGGAAGCAAAACCATTATGTACTAAATAAACTTGACACACGCTGTCCCTGTAAGAGCGCTTTGGAAACGGGAGATCCCAGGGAGTCCTGGAGAAGAATGAGTAGGCTTTTGGAAGAAATGCAACCTCGGTTGCCCTTGAAGAATGAAAAGAACATGAATTCCAGATGGCAGATAAAAAACATGTGCCCATTTTCTTTCCTGAATCCCCACTACCACCACACCAAATGTTCTGTTTGCTTGTTTTTGGGTGTGTGTTCCCCCCATAAATCTACAAGAACAAGGCAGAAGGAAAGAAGACAATACCAACAAAATTTTGGAAGTTGGAAATCAGAAGGAGAGATGAAAATTGACTTAAGACATCTAAGACAGCTGAATCCTAGTCCAGCAGGGGACCTTCACCCCCAAGTTTATAGCCACAGGAGTCTCTGGTACTCTGGTGAAATGGGTGCTGAATAAGGAGGGTTGGTGAGAAGCTCCTTAAAGAGAAGTTAAGCCCAGCTGGTGTGGCTCAGTGGTTGAGCATTGACCTATGAACCAGGAGGTCATGGTTCGATTCCCAGTCAAGTTACATGCTTGGGTTGTGGTCTCAATCCCCAACAGGGGGCATGCAGGAGGCAGCCGATCAATGATTCTTTCTCATCATTGATGTTTCTACCTCTCTTTCCCTCTCCCTTCCTCTCTGAAACAATGAAATTTTTTTTTTAAGAGAGAAGTTAAATTGCCAGATCTCTTTCATCATTCCACACTGTCCCTTCCCTTCCCTGGTGAAAGATGGAACATTGATTTTCTAGAAAATGTAAAAAAACAAATAGTTTCTGAACTGAGGGGCGCCGGATACAGTTGTGGGTTTGAGTACTTCATTGAAAACAGAGGGATAAAGTAAATGCCCACTGAATGGTAAATGTGGAGTCCCTGCGTCTTCTAGAGAATGGCCGCCAGACCTCTACTCTCCAGGAAGGAAAGAGAAAAAATATGAAAAGACCAATAGAAATACCTAAAAGTTTGATGCAAGGATTCCCCAACAATAGCCCACACAGACCACCCTTCAGTAGATCTCAACATAGGAAAGAGAAAAAATATGAAAAGACCAATATAAACACCTAAAAGTTTGATGCAAGGATTCTCCAACAAATAGCCCACACAGACCACCCTTCAGTAGATCTCAACACTGTCCAGCCTTATCCGTCCATCAAGTTGCCACTTAGCTGCTTAGTCTCCCATCCTAAACGGAATAGTCAGCAAAGGATTTCCTGAGAAATGCCTCCAACATGAAAGACAGAAACCCAAATAAGCAAACAAACAAAAGTAACCAATTATACAGGAAAAATAAAACTTCAATGAACAAATAATACACCCAGAGATATTATAAAGGATAATGCATCCATTAAAACAACAACAACAACAAAACAACAAACAGGCCCTGGCCGGTGTGGCTCAGTTGACTGGGCATTGTCCCACGCAAGGAAAGGTTGCTGGTTTGATTCCCATCAGGCACATGCCCAGGCTGCAGGCTCCATCCCTGGTAGAGGACGTGCAGGAGGCAGTCGATCAATGATGGGAACCTTGCCTCCTGACCCTGGCGTGGTCGTGCCAGCCCTCCGGAAGCAGGATCTGGCCCCCACACTTACTCTCACCGTCCAACATCCCCAGTGGCTTCCCATTGCCAGTTCTCCGAGGGGAGATATCCAGTGTGTGTGATATGATCCATGAGGGTGAGACACTATGTCTTCATTTACACCCAGCCACATTAATTTTCAATTTCCACTTCTATTTCTGCATGTGCTTTATAACATAGTACTTGCTTATAGTTGATAAATGAGTAAATATTCATGTATTTGTGGTATGTGCTTGTTTAACTAGTGAGGTGTGCAATCAATGAAGGTCAGACACCAATGATTTATAGACTCAAGTCCAAATTCTCTGACATGCAATAGCCCTAACTACAAGGTGTCTCCAATGTTCTCATCTGACCTTATTTCCCCTCAATCACATGATTCATCCTAAGTTCAGCTAACCAGGGTCACTCGCTTTCCTCCTGCAGAGCTCGGAACTGTCTCGCCTGTGCCTTTGTTCTTGCTGTCCCTTTCCAGGGATACCTTTCTTCCGGTCCCTGTGTGCCCCAACTCCTAAGTCCAGTTCCGATTTCCCTTTGTAGACTCTTCCCTGACCTTACCCCTCTGGAGGCAACCTACCCCTCTTCCGCATGTCCCAGTGCTCCTCTGTGCCACCACCTGGGCAGCCTGACTTCCTGCCCAGGTCACTGACATTCACGCCTAATCTCACTGTTAGGGGACACACTTCTTCAGGTCAGCAGCGGTCCTGACACCTTTCCCCAGCTCACATTTCCCAGTTCTGTGCAAGCCTAAGGGAGAGAGTCAGTGTAACCTGGCCAGTGATTCAAATCCAGCTCTCACAAACAAAACAAGTGACAAACATAAATGCCACAGTAAGCCATTAATCTTTCGCAGAGGATTTGACATTTCACAGTAAATCCGATCAACTGGAAAAAGGCAGCTGTAAATACCTCTATTTGCTCCGCCACGGGCTGTTCAAACACATTGGCCAGTTTCTGCAGAAGCATGTATTTACTGTCAGCCAGCGACGTACACAGCACCTTCAGATCGTTCTAGGGGGTGAGAAATAGGAAGACTTAACATGTGCACCGGGGAACTCAAATGGTTATAAACATAACACACGCTCTTAGAAATAATATACAGGTGTGGGAATTTTATGTCCAGAGAAACCAATACTGTTCTAGGGAAAGATAAAAGAAACTGGTAACAATTTACCTTAAATGCTAAATTTGACTTTTGAATAATCTTTACACAAACCATTTCCAACACAATATGCAAGGAGGCAAGGCATGCAAATAAAAAAGCAATACTGGTCACCCTAAACTTCTTGTTATATCTGAAATAAATGTGCACATTTAAACATTCCAGCAGAAATATTATACTAATGACTTCTATCTAGTAAAACAACCTATTGATGTTACTCTGATTTGGGAAGAAAATAAAATTCTTAAGAATAATATGATTCCTTCGAACCTGGGACCTTTCAGTCTGCAGGCCGGTGCTCTATCCACTGAGCCAAACCAGTCAGGGCCCATATAATGTTTTTAAAAACGTCCATTTCATTGTCATCATTTAAAATGCAGCTATCAGTCCGGCTGACGTGGCTCAGTGGTTGAGCATCGACCCATATATGAACCAGGAGGTCACAGATCGATTCCCAGTGAGGGCACATGCCCAGGTTGTGGGCTGGATCCCCAGTGTGGGGCATGCAGGAGGCAGTTGATCAAAGGTTCTCATCATTGGTGTTTCTGTCTCTCTCTTCTCCCTTCCCCTCTGAAATAATAATAATAAAAAAAGAATAATATGATTCCTTTCTTCCTCTCTCCTCTGCTTCTCTCTCCCTCACTTCCTGCTTTTCCCTAGTTTCAAAGAATGTGCACAAGCTTATAAAAAGCCATCCAGAAGTTTAGAAAAGAACTATTTTCATGATGACCAAAGACATATTAAGAGAAAACACCAAAAGACCTTAGCCACGCCTTTTGTCCACAAACATTACTCACTTAAAAGTCCAAATATGCCCTGGCCGGTAGCTCAGCTGGTTAGAGCAGCGTCCTGATACCCAAGGTTCTGGTTCAATCCTTCCCCACCCCCCTCTCTCTCCCTCCCTCAAAAAAAAAAAAATCAATCAATAAAAAAGTTCAAGTATTCATATTGAGTTAGAGTTGTACAAAAATGAGATAACTATCAGAATTTTGGTATTCAATTCTAAAGGGAATAATAAACTGGAACAAAGCGGGAATGATAAAATATTTAATTCTACTCTTCCCCTCCCCCAAAATCAGCAAATTCCTTATTGGTCGGAAATGTGTCTGATGGGCTGGGTGTCCGTCACAGGGTGAAGTTTGATCACATCCTCTTCACTGGGGACAAGTGCCTGTCACCAAGATGAAAAATTCTGGCCATCTCACCAGGAGAAGGACAATCACAGCAAGGAAGAAAAATCAACTTTCAGGCCGTGTGGGAGCATCACCACACAAAATGTCAGGCTAGCCCTAGCCGGTTCGGCTCAGTGGATAGAGCGTCAGCCTGTGGACTGTAGGGTCCCAGGTTTGATTCTGGTCAAGGGCACATGCCTGAGTTGTGGGCTTGATCACCAGAAGGGGAGCGTGCAGGAGTCAGCCGATCAATGATTCTCTCTCATCATTGATGTTTCTATCTTTCTCCCTCTCCCTCCCTCTGTGATATCAATAAAAATATATTCAAAAAAACAACTACAACAAAAAAACAAAATGTCAGGCTAAAAAGCAAAATCGTGAGTGGATTGTGCAGTAATTTTTTTTTAAAGCAATGAACAGGAGAATTAGAAAGAAGCATATGATTCTAAGAGGCAATAGCTGTCGCTAACTCAAACCCAAACCAATCTGCAAGCCTAGTTGCAGACTAAATAGGAAAATGTAATAACAGCACTGGAAAAATGTTGCTAGAAACAAGGGTTTTGTTTATGAGATATGATATTGTTTGCATTACCACAAAACCCTATGAGGCAGTTAGTAGGGTGTGATTTAAGAGTTGCGGACATGAAGGCTCTGAGAGGCAGCTAAGGTTATAGAGCAGTAGGTAACAAAGCCAGAATTTGAACTCAGGGGGACTGGCTTTGGAGACTTTGTTCTTTATTTCTTTTTTTAAAAATATATTTTTATTGATTTCAGAGAGGAAGGGAGAGAGAGATAGAAACATCAATGATGAGAAAGAATCATTGATCGGCTGCCTCCTACACACCCAACACTGGGGATCGAGCCCAAACCTAGGCATGTGCCCTGACCAGGAATCGAAAAGTGACCTCCTGGTTCATAAGTCAGTGCTCAACCAATGAGCCATGCTGGCCAGGCCGGAGACGGTTTTATTATTTTTTTTTTAAATATATTTTATTGATTTCACAGAGGAAGGGAGAGAGAGAGTTAGAAACATCAATGAGAGAGACACATTGATTGGCTGACTCTTGCACGCCCCCTACTGGGGATGGAGCCCGCAATCCTGACATGTGCCCTGATAGAGAATTGAACCCAGGACCTTTTGGTCCTTGGGGCGAAGCTCAATCTACTGAGCCACACCAGCTGGGCTGGAGACTTTGTTCTTAATTTTTGCTCTTTTGACTTTGCAAAATGAATATTAGAACAATGCTTAGCTACTAGAGATGTTGTGAAGATTAAAGACAAGAGTACATGTGAAAATATTTTGTGAATAAAAAAAATGATACACAAATGTTTGTGGTAATTTTACTTTGTAGTTTTAAGAATGTAAATTACCCGAAGGCAGTGGTAATTTGTCCCTCTAGAACAGTGGTTCTCAACCTTCCTCATGCCGCGACCCTTTAATACCGTTCCTCATGTTGTGGTGACCCCCAATTTCATTGTTACAAATTGAACATAATTAAAGCATAGTGATTAATCACAAAAGCAATATGTAATTATATATGTGTTTTCTGATGGTCTTAGGTGACCCCTGTGAAAGGGTCGTTCGACCCCCAAAGGGGTCGCGACCCACAGGTGGAGAACCGCTGCTCTAGAATGATCAAACATGTCAAACTCGCAGCCGGTGGGCCACATGCCTCAATTAAGTGAGGCATGCGGCCCACTGGCCATGAGTTTGACATGCTTGCTCTAGATATATACACAGAAAATTCCTTGTGTCTTGGCTAATGCTACATTTATTTAACATTTTACAGTATTTTTTTAAATCAAAACTTTTACATAAAACTCTTGGCCCTAATCACAGATATCCATTTTGTAAAACTTCTATGTCTGTTAAAAATAAAATTCAGTTAAAACTTACGTATTCCCAAAGGTGACTTTTTATTAGGAATGAAAATCAACATTAAACGGTTATCAGCTACTTTTGCATTTGCTGAAATTTATAGTCATAGGAAAAGTTTCATAAGCACACAGTTATGCAGTTGGCAACAGTCTCCAGTCTGGGCTAAAAGGCAGTCAGCCTGAGGAGTGAGGACTGGGAAGTAATGCAATATGTTTGAGCGCAGGTGGAACTAATTAGGCCACAGTCACTTGCAATGGGCCTGGGTATTGGGGTCCAGGCTTTGCTCTGTATTACAGCCCTGCCTGCATGTTTTTTTTGGTTATATGTTTTAAACGCTACTATTATCAACTGGAAATTGTAATTATACTGTGCCATAAATACGACTTTTATTGGTTGAGTTTAAATTCCTATTCAGCCCTTAGTGTAGTTAGCTGGTTTTCTCAAGTTCCATTTCTGGGAGAATAAAAGTCAGTTTTCTAATACGAGTTCAATCCCCTAGTTCAGCGGTTCTCAACCTGTGGGTCGCAAACAATGAAAATACATCCTGCATATCAGATATTTACATTACGATTCATAAGAGTAGCAAAATTACAGTTAAGAAGTAGCAACGAAAATAATTTTATGGTTGGGGGTCACCACAACATGAGGAACTGTATTAAAGGGTCGCAGCATTAGGAAGGTTGAGAACCACTGCCCTAGTTTTTCTGTGATGTTCCTGCTCCTCATTGTTCATTTGAAGAAAAAAATAGATCTAGGTATATCATACCTCAGTCAGACATCGTGTTTATGACCCCCTCTCTGGCTTCTGCTTAGAGCAAACTAATAACTCTTTGCATGGAGGATGGGCAAACAACTCTTGACTATGTCTTACCTGGAAATTTAGTATCTGCTGAAGTCTTTCCTTCATCTGATGACATCGTTGATTTACTACTGAGTCTAACAAGGATAGCCTCCCCAAAAGACACCCCAAAGTGTCTTCGATAACATCGCGGTTATCACTATTCTCCGGAAATGCTTGGGAAAACAAGTTCTTGTTCTTATCCATCTCTTCAGACATTTCCTTAATATCTTTGGCAAGAGTCTAGGGTTGATCAAAAAGAAGACCATTTGAGTGTTTAGACCCAGGAATCTATATACAAATCAGGTCTTTACCCCCTAGGACAGTGATGGCCAACCTATGACACGCATGTCAGAGGTGACACGCGAACTCATTTTTTTGGTTGATTTTTCTTTGTTAAATGGCATTTAAATATATAAAATAAATATCAAAAATATAAGTCTTTGTTTTACTATGGTTGCAAATATCAAAAAATTTCTATATGTGACACGGCACCAGAGTTAAGTTAGGGTTTTGCAAAATGCTGACACGCCGAGCTCAAAAGGTTCGCCATCACTGACCTAGAGCCAACCTCCTGTGGTCCCTCTCCAGCATCTGCGGAGTGAGCAGGGTCCCTTGGCAGGTGGGGTCCCTCGGCCTGGCCTGCAGGGATTGGCCGAAACCGGCTCTCCGGCATCCCCCAAGGGGTCCCAGAGTGCGAGAGGGCACTCTGCAAAGTTGCTGTCATACAGGGTGTGGAACACAAACACAAGTGTGCAGTCAACCAGATTTGGGGCCAGCAGGGTCCCAGCAACAACATAACCCACAGCCAAAGGTGAAATCAAGCGGCCCCGCGAGGAATCGGGCTCCCTCCTCTCTGGTTTCGGGGTGGGTCACCCAAGAACCGCCACTGCCAAGTCACTGCAGCTCGGCAGCTCCTGCGTTGAGCGTCTGGCCCCTGGTGGTCAATGCGCATCATAGTGACCGGTCGTCTCCTTTGTACAGGGGCACGCCAGCCAGGAGCCGGTTTGGCCTGCTAAAAAGCTGCAGACAAACAGGGGCGGTTTACATAAGAGCACTGTGTCCAGGTTCCTCAGATCCAAAGGGAAGTCCTGGAGTTTACTCCGTTCATGCCACTGCCATGGAACGGCCCAGGTGAGTGCTAGCCCAGGACACAGGACTAGTTTCCATTGTCGAAAGCCTGCTGGGCCATGGCTGTGGTGAGCACCGCGGGCTTGCCTGGGTTCTAGCCTCACTCACTAGCTCTCCAAGGTGCCCATTCCTCTGACTCTCTAGCTTCTGCTTGGAGCAAAGTAATAGCTATTTCTCTGGAACCTTCTGTTGCTATCTTCAATTCCATTGGGTGTGGCTTGCTTGACTGGGTCAAGTCCAACATCACTCAGCACCTACCCATCTTGCAAACCAGCCTGCACCTGGGTTACAGGAGCAATTCCAGCTGACCACTGGCTCCCCCTGCCTTTTAGAACCATCGAGGTCCCAATAGTGCAGTGGTTCTCAACCTTCTGGCCCTTTAAATACAATTCCTCATGTTGTGACCCAACCATAAAATTATTTTCGTTGCTACTACATAACTGTAATGTTGCTACTGTTATGAATTGTAATGTAAATATCTGATAAGCAGGAGGGTCTTAGGCGACCCCTGTGAAAGGGTCGTTCGACCGCCAAAGGGGTCGCGACCCACAGGTTGAGAACCGCTGCAATAAGTGTCTCATTAAGGTCTTCTGAAACTATTAAATACTAGAAGTAGCGAGGAAAAATAAGATGACTTGACAATTTAGTTCCAGGTTTTTGGAATTTCTTTTATCCTAGACATATATACATCCCTTATTTTCAAAGTCGTACAAAAGGGGGAGACACAATGTAATGATTTATGCTAATGAGTAATCAGGTATGGATGATCTCTGGGGAAATATGGTACCTAGAAATCAAATTTTCACATATAAACATGCCATCACTAGGGGAAATGTGAAATGGGCTTGTTAGGAAACATGTAGGAAGAATCATTTGTTTCCTGCCTTATTTTGCATTGGAAATGAAAATATAGCGGACTGCACAGTTACACTGTCTCAGCCACGCTGGGCATCTTCTACGAGAGAGAATACATAAGAGAGAACGTGTGGTACCACTTGCTCTTGTTCCTGCGCCAGGGCGTCCTGCAGCAGCCTCTGCTTGGCACTGACTTCCTGCTGGAGGCTCTCCCACTTCATCCGCATCTGGCCTTCCGCAGGGGCCTGCTCTCCTTCCATCCCCAACTCCTGGGATGACACAGCAGGTTTTTCACTATTAGAAGAATAAACAATCCAAGTTTACAATGTGGGCAAAAAGGTGATCACTTATTGCATGCATGAGCTGTGGCCTCTAAAATTAGAACCAGATTACTCTGGTTATTAGCTTACACTTAAAAAAAAAATTAAAATTTTAAAAAATGTGAGTCTAACCATAAACAAATATAGGATAATGCAACCAGGGCCACAATGATAATTTAAAAATACATTGAAAATAGCTCAACATTAAAGATAAAAATAATTGTATCTTTGGGGATCAGAAAGTATATGGATTCGTATTCTTTGACAAATAGCCCACAAATTAATTAAAAACCGTAAAAATGCTACTTGGTCTCTGCGAGTTTTTACCCTGAGTCCAAGGCCAGGTTTCAGGACATGGATTAGGGTTCAGGACATGAGAGGAAGGCACCTGGGCCTCATCCTTCAGGACAGGCAGCAGTGTGCATCTGAGGATGACTGTGGCTCTTAGGGTGACACAGAGCTGAGTTTTTAAATCCCTGCACCATATGCTGTACACCTGAAACTAATATAATATTGAATGTTAACTAATTTACAAACATTAAAAATAAATGCACATTAGCCTCGCTGGCATGGCTCAGTGCTTGAATGTCCACTTAGGAACCAGGAGGTCACGGTTCGATTCCCGGTCAGTGCACGTGCCCGAGTTGTGGGCTAGATCCTCAGTGTGGGTGTGCAGGAGGCAGCCAATCAATAATTCTCTTTCATCATTGATGTTTTTTATCTCTCTCTCTCCCTTCATCTCTGAAATCAATAAATAAATGTTTAAAAAAATAAAAAATAAGTAAATGTAGGTTTAATTTGTGACATTCACAGCTTTCACAACCCCTCTGTGAAGCAGATAGTCCCTTCTTATTCTCATTCCACAGAGGAGCAAACCAGGCCTCAGAGCTGAGTTACTTTTCCATGGTGACAGCAGTTGAACTAGAATAAAACCCAGACCTCACTCAAAACAGAGGGATCATTCCTCTCTACTTTCCTTCCCAACCCTCAGACTCAAGTCTTCAACTTGAACATTGGTCCAACTTCCTTCATTTTTCTTCTAATACTTTACTCTTCTGTGTATAAGACTTTCCTTCTCCACTCTACAACAGGACACAAAGCTCAATGAGCTTGCATGCAGAAATTATAAAAACAGTTCCTCGAGAAAAAGCAACATCTTTCGTAGGCAGAATGAGGTTGAGGGAAGATAGGTTCTTACAGGGAAAATGTTTTGCAGTTAGATATTCAGAAAGAAACATAACTTTATGTGTTTCTTATTTGATTTTTCCCCCCTATTTGATTTTTAAAAAACAAACTCATGTATCTTCTCTGGACAGATATGCTGAGCATACTGGAAAGAAGACAAATAAGTTAGCCCTCACACTCCCTAGCTGTACTCATGCCACACAATAAAATATTCAAAATGCAAGTAAACTATATATCCTAAAGAGAAAAAATAATGATTAAATTTTTGCAGGTGTTTAAAATGAAAGTTTGATTAAGATGCTTGCATTTCTTCAGATGTTAGGGAATCAGTGACCAGAATAGAAAGAGCGTGTGGAAACCTACCCAGCACCACCAGAGGTCTCTGCCGCTGAGTGCTGGGTGAGGATTTCCTCTCCACGACTGGCTACTGACCGGAGAAGGCTCTTCTGCTCTGCTAACTCCTGCTCCAACTCCTGCTCAAGGAAAAGAACAAACAAACACAGCTTGTGATTTCATGAGCATCATCTGCAATCATGGTTCTATGTCTACAACAGCCTCAGAGAACTCGTGCATACATGTTTAAGTTTGCACGTTGCATAAAAGGTGTGGTGGAGGGAAAGGCTCACACATCTCTCCAAACTACTCTACAGCTTTCATGGCTTAAATAAAACAGACCTGAAAAATCTTGGAGGAAAAAAAAAAAAAAAATCAATGGAAAATTAACATTTTGCTGGGCAATGGTGCCCTCAAGTGGTACAACATGAACTTTTAATTTTCAAAATGAATACTGCCTTTTTCCCAGCTGAGACCGGCCCTTGAGAGCAGCTGTTCTTTAATTCCCGGCTTACTTGATAAGTTTGATTATCATTGAATTCAGTTTTACTTTTTCATATTTAGTGATAAATGCCTTTGCTCTTTGAAAAAATAATTTAATATGCCCGATTCATAAAGTTAAGGTATCAATGAGGAATCATTCTTATTCATCAAAGCTCATTATTTTTACTAGGCAATAATTTGCAATCCAATTTTGTGATGGTATCTACTTGAAAGTAGAAAATAAATTACATTTATTTTAAAAAAACATGTAACTCAGACTTTCACCAATTCTCAGAGGCCTTCCTGAGGTTTTTATTATATAAAGTAGTCTGAAATTGGGGCAAGTCTGAAAATAGAGCAGATAATCTCGATAAGGCAGATTTTAATTGTTACATTATTTGTAAAGCTTTTCTTAAAAGAATAGACTTTAAAATGACCAAGCACAAAAACAGAAAATAAGAAAACAAATAAACAAACAAAACCACAGAAAAATGGCCAAGCATTCCAGTGGTCACGAGGAAATATGCTGAACCATTTAGCCAGGTCTCTGCGAAGAGCAGACAAAGGTGCATTCTGTCTTTAGAACACAAGAAACTTGTTCTTCTAAGCCAGTGGTTCTCAACCTTCTGGCCCTTTAAATACAGTTCCTCATGTTGTGACCCAACCATAAAATTATTTTCGCTGCTACTTCATAACTGTAATGTTGCTACTGTTATGAATCGTAATGTAAATATCTGATATGCAGGATGGTCTTAGGTGACCCCTGTGAAAGGGTCGTTCGACCACCAAAGGGGTCGTGACCCACAGGTTGAGAACCGCTGTAAGCGTTTCTCTCCGGGGAGTGTTGGCACACCTGCAGGCTAGAGAGAGGTTAGGAAATGCTTTACTTTTTGTTGCTGGAGACTGCTCTGTCGCTGGAGGGCCCATGTGGAGCGAGCTTGGGCCAGCCAGTCCTGGACACCGGGCCTCGGGGTGGCAGCTGGGTCACCGTCGCTATCCTCCTTCTCTTGCGCTGCTCCCTGTTTTAATGAGACAGAAATCAAGAGTCATCCACACAAAGAAAAACCCTGACCAGAGTGGAGTGGCAGCTGCTTCAGTGTGGTCTCAATAATACCAAAGCGGCTCCATTTGGATGGGAAATCATATTTTTTAAAAAATGGCCCTAGCAGGTTTGGCTCAGTGGAAAGAGCGTCAGCCTGCGGACTGAAGGGTCCCAGGTTTGATTCTGGTCAAGGGCACATGCCTGGGTTGTGGGCTCTATACCCAGTGTGGGGGCATGCAGGAGGCCGCCAATCAATGATACTCTCTCATCATTGATGTTTCCATCTCTCTCTCTCTCTCTCTCTCTCTCTCTCTCTCTCTCCTCTCTCTCATTCTCCCTCTCTCTCTCTCCTCTCTCTCATTCTCTCTCTCTCCTTTCCTCTCTGAAATCAATAAAAATATATTAAAACAATGGTAACACAAAACCCATCCAACTTATGGCATTTGTAGGTGGAAGAACAATAAATAGATGATTATACTCAGACATATTTGAGGGCAATACTGCCTACTTAGAAGCTGGACTTTTTAGCTGACTGATGTGGTCACCAGACATTATTCTACAATATTTTCCAGAAGAACATAGTAACTCTAGATCTCACTTCCTCTACTCACACCACCAGGACCAGACCCCACTGCTATTTGCCGCCACCACTGGCTTTGACGAAAGAGAAATTCAGCCCTAGCTGGTCTGGTTCAGTGGGCTGCAGACTGAAAGGTCCCAGGTTCGATTCTGGTCAAGGGCACATGCCCAGGTTGTGGGCTCGATCCCCAGTGCGGGACATGCAGGAGGCAGCCGATCAATGATTCTCTCTCATCATTGATGTTTCTATCTCTCTCTTCCTCTCCCTTCCCCTCTGAAATCAATAAAAATATATATTAAAAAATAAAAAAATTAAAAACAAATAAATAAATGAGAAAGACCAATGTAATTCTGTATTATCTGGTAGGAATGTATCCTTCCTGCTTGCTTGTTCTGACGGGATTTGCAAGGCCCTAACGCACTCATATCAGAATGGGATTCATTCCTACTGAGAGATTTTCTACTCACCTACGTGTATATGTCAGAGGATAAACTGCCCAATTTGAATATAGCTCATTCACTAAGTACTTCTTAAGTACCTACTGTGTGTCAACCGCTGTTCCAGGCATTGGGGTATTTTTTCAAGAAGGAGCCAGACAGGGGCCCTACTGGGGAGACAAACAATAAGCAAGCAAGAGAAGGTAAGAGCTACAGAGAACAGGAAAGCAGATGATGGACAGAGTGAAGGGGAAAGGTTTTCGAGGCTGCTCTGCGCAGGCATCCTCAGAGACAGTTACACGGAGCCCAGAACAATGGCAAAGGTAGGGGGAGGGCCCTGCAGGCCCTGGGGCCAGCAGAGCAAAGGCAGTGGAAGGAAGAGGCTTGGCATCGCATAGAGAGTAGCACAGTGAAGGGCCCAGTGTGGCTGGAGCAGGGTGGGGGCAGGGAGGGCAGAGATTTCATAGGTCATTTCATAGAGGAGTGGGCCTGCTGTCTAGTCGGGAGCTGCTGCTGCTGTCCTTTGCTGACTTTGATCACAGTATGGGATCCAGCCACCACGCCAGCTCATCCGCCTGAGTGCCCACAAAGCCCCTTAGCTCCTCTTATTTTCAGAATTGCACTAACTATTGTGACTGGGGGAAAAGGGATTCTGGAAAGTTACCTCACAGGGTGTTTTGATCTTAAATTCCTACCTGGGCCATCAGGGTGGGAAGCCACTCCCCAGGCATACCTTTGCCTTTGGCAAGCCCTGCCCATTGTCTCTGCGCATTTAGGTTAACACACCTGTGGACCAATCCCTGCCCCCTCCAGAGAGCACATAATCTGTTCACTGTCCTGTAACCCAGTCCCCGCCTTGCTTTTCCCACCTCCACGTCATCTTTCTTCTTTCCCCTCCTTCATTTCAAACGCTTAAATGAAGCTTATTCTCCTGAGCTTTTGAGATCTTGCTCCCCCATATGTTGTCAGTTTGGCTCAAATAAACTCATAAAAATTCTCTACATATTTGGACGTTTCTTACGTAGACACTATGACAGGGAAATAGACGGTGTCTGTTTATCTTTCTATTCATTAAAATCCCATAATCAAATTGTAAAACGTTTGAGATGATAAACTTGCAAAGTTGCTATCAGTGCCTGAAGTGAAATAGAAATAAGAAAACAGTGAAACCTACAGGGAATGTTATCCATAATCTCTTCCCAGATTCTGAGCCACCTGAGCTCATAGTACTTTCCTTAAGATGATCCAGCTTCACAGCCAGAGAATGTGGTGTAGACAGAACAACGCCACGGGTCTAAAATACGCCATCTCCTTGTTGCAGGGCCTTCGGAATGCGTGCTCAGTGACACCCCGCTGAGAACATTCCCACTCCTGCAGGAAAGCCTCCCACAGAAAAACAGTGACCTTCCTGAAGGTGCGGGTGTGGGCTGAACGGACACTCCTCCAGGACTAACGCCCAGGCATTTCCACATGAAGCAGATGCTCTCCATCTGAGAATGCACCACTGACCCAGAATTAGCTCTGGACCTCCCGGCAAGGATGAGGCAGCAGGTCGACAGGGACCAGGAGAAGACGACCCCAGGAGTCAGTGTAGGAGGCTGACCGCTGTCCCCAATCAGAGCCACAAACAGAGGTCAAGGCCATGACCTGCTGTCTCTCTTGGGTGGGATCCTGTCACCTCCCCCTGCTCTGCTCTTAGAACAGTTCGTTTTCAGAGCTGAAGACGCACATGATAACGTCTCCGTTCACCACCCCATCCTTCTAACACAGGTCAGGCCTGTCTGACTGAGAGCTGTCCTTTCAAAGCCCTCGTGCCAAATGTGCGCTTAGAAAAAGGACGGCAGCAACGTCGGGTCTAAGGACAGCGTCGTCACTGCCCAAGCACACACACACATGTTCAGATTCTAAGACCGGCTAGACAGCCAGTCATATTTGACGAACTGAAGCCACAGCTTTAGAGAAAAGGGAACTAGGCAACCTGAGGGGCGGATGCCTCATCTGTATTTTCTAGGTGGTTAGGTTGGTTTTCAGTTAGTTTTTCTCTGACCGATTTAGTCATTTTGAAACATAACCCTTGGACCACAGGAAGCAAAAGAAAGGATGGAGAATCCAGCTGGGATTTCATTCCTTCCCCTGGGATTTCATTCCTGGGATGAGAAGGCACAGACAGAAGGGATAAGGTAACAGCAGTCACCGTCTCTGAGGTTTGATAGCAGTTTTCCCTCTTAGCTAGGGACTAGGAAGTAAACGACTTGGGTCCCCAGAGTCCCCCGTGGGCGGAGCTACATAGCTGTTTATTTTGGAAATACTACAACAGTAACTGCTTTTGCCAGGAACATTCCTTGGAAGATTAGTGAGGACTGGGGAATGCTAAACAGTAAATAAAACATTTCTTTATAAAGCATTTAATTATTTATATATGGCTAACTCACTGCTCACTGGGGGGATAATAACGTGTGAAATGACCTAAGCTTCTTGTAAAAGAAAAGATAACTTAAATTCAAGAGATATTATCATATGCCAGTAAGTCTGTGTCCCTTCACATAAAGAAAGAACCCATGGGGGAGGGGGAGCTAAAGAGGTTGGTTATTCATTGATACAAACAGAAGTCCAACTAGTTAGAGAGAATGGCCTTAACAGAGATGGCCACTTTATAAATAAGTAGCTCTGAGAAATGAGGTGCTTAAGGCCCCACACGAGTTAGGAAGCTATTCCAGTCCTCCTGACTCTCGCCAACCCCAACTGAAGGGTCCAACTTCACTAACATCTACATTCGATGGAAGATGTCTTTCCGCCAACAGCCCTTAGTGAATCTCAGATCAATTCTGAACTTTCTACACGAAGGGAAACAATCCTTTTCATGGCAACAATAATACACACAGCGCTCCTTTTAGTCCTACAACTGGAAAAACAATCTCTTCAAAAAGGTCTAATTATTTTTTTAAAAACAAGCCATCAAAATCTTACATGCTGGAAACTCATTAGATGAAAGATGGTAAAATGTATAAGTATTTTAAAAATGAACAATGACTAATTTCAAGGCAGTCAAATAGTTTGCACAACAGTATCCCCAGGATAGCGTACACCTGCAGGCTGCATCAGGCCTTGACTCAATGTGAAGACCCTCTGTGGCCCGGGGCAGCACCTGCCAGGTGTGAGCAGCACAGGTGGCTGTCAGCACAGCCCAGCCCAGACTAGTCTAGCCTTCGAGCATTCAGCAGGGCCTTTCCTCACAAAGAATGTGTTTTGCAAACTGTTAGCTGTTGTTATTATTATACTCACTGTGATTTGAGTGCCTAGTATGAACATTACCTGCCTTAACATAATATCCTCAGAATATTTTAAAGTTAAATACTATTATTATCCCCATTTTACAGATGAGAACACTGATCTGTAAGAAAGGGAAGTTCAAGGATCTCGCCCAGGTCTCTGGTGAATACCTGGTGGGACCAGGCTGCGACGGGGGGGAGGGGGGGGGGACATTAGAACAGCAGAACCACCTCTGCCACCTGGATATGCTTTATTTGGCACACACATTATTTTTAAATTTTAGAACTAAGTTTTTCAAATTGGAAGATTTTAGATATAAATCCTCATTTCCTTTCTCTGGAAGACCTAGCAATGCTGACTGTAAATTCTTGTGTGCTGATAGCTGGAGCGCACAGCTACTCCTCAGATGCTTGCCAAGGTCCTGGCTGGACCTGCTTCACGGGTTCACATTCCCTCCCCAGGCCCGAGGCCCTGGGATGTGTGCCTGTTTAATCCCCGATGCGCCCGTGGACCAATCCTCTGTCCCTTCCATTCCTACCTTCCTCAGGGGGCAGGGCCCAGCTGGAGCTTCATAAATGAGCTATCCCAGAGAAGAAACCATTGCTTCTAATAGTTTTCTATTGATTAGGTTTGATGTTTTCAATCATATAATCATGCCGTTAACAGAGAACTGAAGATAGGTAGGTTCGTCTGAAAAAATCATTACACTGAGAAAAAAGAAGCAATCACAGTGAGTGGCCATTGAATTCCCACCACGACTTTTGTGGCCCGTCCCCGGCCAGCATCTGTACTCAAATACGGGTGTCCCCTTCCCTCCTGATACTGGATCCTATCCTCTCCCTCCTACACAAGTTGGTTCTTGCAATTCACTCCTTTTTCATCAGGTTTTCCTCCACTGAGTTATAGTGGAACCTTGTTTCTCAAACTTAATTCATTCCAGGAGGCAGTTCGAGAAGCGGTTTGGAAACTGAACCATTTTTCCCATTAGAAATAATATAAATTGAATCAATCCATTCCAGACCCCCAAATGATTCTGATTCAACCTTTCTTATATACCTGTCTAATGTACTGTTTAATATATAAATAAACACTTCTTTTCTTAAATTTATTGAACCACCCCCTACTAGCCTTAAAGGAATTTTTCAGACATTACTGCCTTGAGAATGGTATCACCAGTTAATTGCTTTTCCTTTATCCAATCAATAACAATTTTCCTACCTATTCAATTGTCTGTGATTGCGGACAATAACAGTATGAAAGTTGCCTGGGGAGAAATCTGAGTAAAAGTGTTTTAGGGTTCTCTTATATGGATCTGGAGAGAGATTAAGATATAAACTTAGAATTTATTAGATATGCGTGGTAAAAAGTAGAGGGCAAAAAAGCAAAGGAAAGCTCTCAGACAGTTAAAACAAAGGTTAAAAGGGATAAAAATAATAGAGCAGAAAAAATAGAAAACAAAAAGTTGGGTGATATAAGTTTAAACATATCAGTAATCACAATAAATATAAATGGACTAAACTACCCTTTAAAAATAATGGATTTTTCTGATTAAATAAAATATTTCAAACCAACAAAATATAGCTAAATGTTCTTTACAAGAAGCGAATCTACAACATAAGAACACAGAAAAGGTAAAATCAAAGGAAAGTTAAAATATAAACTAGGCAAATATTACCTACCAAAAGCTCTAGTAATATAAAACAAAAATCAATATAAAGGAATGTTAAGGTCACTACATGATAGCAAAAATGTTCAATTCACCTGGAATACATGACAAGCCTAAAGTTGTGGGTCCTAAATAAAAGTCTAGGTATATCTGAAAAGTAGAATGTAGGAGGAATAAAAGAAAAATGTGAAAATGTTATAGGATACCTTGATTTCTGAACCACGTTTACATTTTTTTAAATTGTGTCTTTCTAGATTTTGCTATTTCTTTCTTTTCCCACACTGCAACCTTCAGGTCTACAGATTCAAACAGTCCTTATAAAACCTATTTGAAAATCTACGCCAAAGTTTGTGTAGTGCAGGTAGGTACATAAGTACGTATCATTCCCCACATTTTCCTTCAGTGGTTCTCAACCTTCCTGATGCCGCGACCCTTTAATACAGTTCCTCATGTTGCGGTGACCCCCAACCATAAAATTATTTTCGTTGCTACTTCACAACTGTAATGTTGCTGCTGTTATGAGTCGTCATGTAAATATCTGATATGCTATATGTGTTTTCCGATGGTTGCGACCCACAGGTTGAGAACCGCTGCTTTATATGGACGGGCTCAGAAAAGGCATGCCAGCAACGCACAAGGATCCGGCGGTCCTTGCAGCATCGCCTCGCTATCGGGGCTGGAGCCTCACCTGGATGTTCAGCTGCTTGTCGTGCAGGGCTCTCTGAAGCTCCAGGAGACTCCCCTTGAGGGTTCTCAGCTTCACCGCCAGCTGCTCGGCCTCGTCCTTCGTGTGGGCCTTGCCCTCCAGCAGCAGGTTGTCATTGTGGACAGAGAGCTCCGACAGGGCCACCACCTTCTGCTCGATTTCCACCAGCATGTTCTGGGAGCACAGAAGTAAGGGTGAAACTCACACACCCTGCCGGCCTCTACAAAGACCGTTTCCCGCAGCGAGACACAACACTTCCT